ATAATAAGTTGATGAGTGTGAATATTGTTTGCTAATTATTGTTTGATGTGCATGTCAGTTGTTTAAGAGAAATCTCAAAGTTGAATGATTAGTTGATATTTATTACCCCATAGTAGTAGGAAACACCACTTGGGGAACATTTTACTTCATAGAAACATTAATGGAGAATGCCAGTGTGTATACTAATCAGTTTGTGAATTTGTCTCAAATTAGGTAAAAAAATTTCACTCCGAAAATTTCAAGTGAAATTATGGAAAATTCAATTACCTTGTTTGGCTTTGATTGATTACGTACATCTAAAAAATAAAAAAATTTCTTAAAATATTAAAATTTTTGACTAAAAACAAAAAAACACAGAAAACAAAAAACTCAATTTTTTGAAACCAAACAAGGTAATGTTTCTTGTGAACTGTATGTTCTTTCCTTGTGGGTGATCACATTGTTTATATGATTTGATGCAATATAAACTTTACTGCTCCATTTTCTTTAACCTTTCCGTTTTAGTCTTCTTTGTCTTGGTACATTCTATCTTTCAAAAGTACTTTAGAAGTAATATTGTGGTTGACTGCTTGACTTTTTACTCCATATTTGTTATATGTGTAGTTATAAATGACTGTGACTCTGTATTTGCAGAAAATGGTCTTGTGGCCTATAAGGATAGGAAGTTCATTGGGACCCAGATATTGTCTAAATCTATACCGAAATTATTTATCTAAAGTTCAAGATTCAAATGATGCTTTTAGAAATATGTTGGCAACGATTCAGACAGTTCTTATGAACAACTAAGGTCTTGAATATTTTAGACATAATTATACAAAATGTAGGAAAATTGGGTTTATAATTTGGCCTCTTCAATGGAAAATGCTATGCCTTGATACAACAGATTAAGTATGTTCTCTTCTGAACCATTTTAGGTCTAAAAAAGGTAGAGAAACAATAAATATTTGCTAACATTTCCAATATTGTTTAAATTAAATCTGCCAATTCATCTCCTTGAAAACTTAAGATTCCTAAGCAATGGATTGTAATTTTAATACGTTTTGCAGAATGTTGTAATTGCCTTAAGCCATATTTATACACTTGGTGTCCACTTTGTTATCTTTTCCATTTTTTGTTCTTTTGCTTACTTTTTTTTTTTTTAATTTCTTCCTGGGTTCGTAATTTTGCAGAGCTTGAGATCATACCTTGGAGAAGAAAAACTTAAGGTCAGACCCTTCTCCTGCTCTTTCCTATATCCTGAGTAGGCACGGTAACTCACTAAGTAAACTGCATTGTTATTAATTAGCAATTTGAAGAAAGCCAATTCCCCAAGGGGACACTCTAGCAGCTTAGGCAAGACCTAAGTTCGAATTTCTTTAACTTACCAATCCAAAAAAAAAAAAAGGCAATTTGCAAGAAGCCAAAGGGACCAAAAAATTAGAAAAGTTAGGATCATATATTTATTACACTATCAAGGGTAGAAACAATAAAATATGCCCCTATCTCCATCCTTCAGTAAGATTACAGATCAATATTCTTGTTAGAAACATTCATTTTTTTCCAAGTTGTTTATAAATTTTTTGATTTTTTTGTTGTTGTTGTTATTAAATTCAGTTTAGGTATGAAAAGTTATGTTGTAGCCATTAGATGGTAGGCTTTATCTATATATGTACAAAACATTTATAGTACATTATTAGTTTATGGATATGACATTTTTAAATAATTTGCTAGAATTTATTAATTTTACACTGCATTACATTGCCAACTTGGATATTCCAATAAAGAGGTTTGTGAAGTGCAAGCATGAGTGGCAATTATCCATGGACGTTAAGCTTCTAAGTCCATTTCTTATTCAACTTCTTCATTAGAGGAACATTTATAGAGTTCCGAAGTGGGATGCTCAATGTATCACCAATTGGCCGAAACTGTAGTCAGGAAGAATGGGATGAGTATGAAAAGTATGACAAGGTACAATATCTTAAATTGTGATTAAGATTAAGTTTAAAACTTGGGTCTCTATAAGAAACACAGTTGATGTTGAATCTCTTGAAAATTACTTTACTGAAATTATATTAAGGTTCTGAACATACACCCTAAGATGGTGTCTGTGCTTCGCGAGAAATTTGCTCACCTTAATCACACCTTTTCCATTGGGGGACAAATAAGTTTTGATATGAATGAATGTTATTCCTTGTTTATGCTTTGATGATTCTTAAGCTGATAAAATAAATGATAATAAGTCATTGTAGTTGAATTTATGTTTAGGCATAACGCTTCCATGTTTTAACAAGTTTTCCCTCAAGGTTGGGACAAGACTTATTTCTTGTGATATGTGGATGATTTTCATGAAATCCACTTTTTTGGAGACAAAACTTACAAGGTAACAATTTTATCTTCTCTCTTCAGTTTGGTTATTCCCTTCATTTTTTGGTATTTGCCATGTGACAGTAACTTGTTATTGAAGGTTCGATTCCCTGTAGTGATGTCTTGTGTTGTGTTGTATTAGTTCATTTTTTATTTTGCTAACGAGTTTTTGGTACACTGTTAGGACTAAACAAAGGGCTTGGATGTTGCTTTAATAGGGAGGAAATGACCATGAGATATATGAATCAGAGCGAACCATGGGGCACACAGGTCTGCTCTATATTTCAGCTTATTTTTGCAGTTCAATACACCATGGAGTTCTTTATTGCCATAGCATCTAGAGAACCAAATGCATTGTTGATATGGTTCCATTTGCAAAGAAATCTAAAATCTTCAATCAAGTTGATTCATTTTGTTTTCAACAGCATCCACATGTGTTTATTTCATTTGTTAAAGTTGGACAATTACTAAAGAAAATGGATCCATCAACAAAAGAAATAAAATTGATGATATTTTCTTATAACGTTCTGAATGATTTTGTACATAAAACATGTTGTACTTGTTTTAAATGCTACGGAAAACAAAATGGATTAAATATTGTAAGTTGAGATGGAACAGTTTCATTTTCATTGAGTACCCAAATGCTTTTTAAATGGATATCTATGTCAATGTTTCTCTTTTGCCATTGGGTCCTCCATAACTACCAAGGCCTCATCTTGGTTAGCACCCATTTTGGTCAACCCATCAGCACTCTTGTTTTGTTTTCTCAATACATGTTGCACTGTGTAACCGCATCTGCTGATAAGAAACATTGCATCTTCTACCAGGCTCTTCATTGGGGCACAAATTCCACTTTCAGCAATTCAATGGCCTCAGTGGAGTTGGACTCAATGATGAGGTCTTTGTATCCCTTCTCAAAAGAAATTGTTAAGGCTATGTAAATTGCTCATAGTTCTTCTTCGAGACTTGTACGTATGTCCAGCTTGTCGAAGAATCTACAAAGCCAAATACCCTTCTCATCTCGGATTAAGCCACCAAACCCACCTTAATTGCATTTAACACAAAGTGGGTGTTTGGGAAGTTGCTATTTTAGTAGGCTATTTTAGTTTTTGACTATTTTAATAGACTAAAATTTTAGTGTTTGGGAAGATGATTGGATTTTTTTATAATTAGATGTGATATTTGTGAGAGAAAAAGTGAAATGATTATGAGTTTGATGTGACATTTTGTCTTTTTGACTATTTTAGCCAAAAAAACTTCTTCCCAAACACTCCCGAACTAAAAGTAATCAAAATTTTCAATGAAAACACACAGATAAATAAATAAAAATAAATAACATATATTAATTGCATGAATCACCTCCTCTCACAATATTAGTAAGCACCGCACTAGGCATGAAAATTATAGGGGTGCAACTCGGGTAGACTTAGACGGTTGTTTAGGCTTATTTCGAGTTGTTGGATTTTTATTTGATATAAGATTTGGATTAGAAAGTGTTATATGTATTGTAGACTTTATTTTGGTTATTTAAATTATTCATTTTGCAGTGACCTTTGGGTATATCACCTAAAAAATAAAAATAAAAAATTAAATCAATATGTTATGACTGAAGAGGTCACGTGGAATGTGATGCCAGTATCATGGATGGTGATTATGGGGCATTTGGGGCTGGTGGAGCGGTGCTAGGTATTCCTGAAGTATAATTAATGAAACCATACTCTAAATAAGTAAATAAGTTTTTATGTTGCGAGCTTCAATTTCTTCTGTTCTTTGGCTTTGATAATGTTATGGAGCTTTCATTTTCATTTTATGCTCTTTATTTCTGTGAAGTTAATAATTAGTAGGTGTCCGGAATGGTATCCAAGTTGCTGCTTTGTTGGCCAAGGAAAAAATGTTGGGTTTAGCACTACTGGGTCGAATACCTCCCACATATGATTACACCTGTGTTTATCTTTGAATTTTGATACACAAATTACCTCTTTATGGCAGCATTGTCACAGTACTTATTATTTATGTCTTGTGGATTTTTCATTGCGAATTATGAGTAGTGCAACATTATTTTGTTGGAGATGTTATGTAATGCATACTATATGTGAATAGTGAATATGAATCTGCCTTCTACACATGTTTAATGCTTGTAAAACTCAAATCAAATGAAGCCATGAAGGGTAATGTAATGGGTGAAATTAGTTACAGTCATTTGGTCTTTAATTCAAAATTTGAAAGAAATGATTTATTGAGGAGTCCATTCCAAGTTTTTGATAAATTAGTTTCTTACTTCAACATCATGTCAAATTGGATTTCCTCTTTTTCTTGGCTACACTGGTGATCCTTGGTGAGGAGTTAATGTATCTCACTAGGGCATGCCATTTGTTCAGATTTTTGTTTTCTTATGAGGCATTTTTTGTGTTTCCTAGCTTCTTGGTTGGTAAAGGTGCACGTATGTGGGCAAAATCCAAGGGTATTTCTTGGCCGACAGGTATACTGGAGGCTGATGAGGTAAACTCTCCTAGTTTTTTGTCCTATCTGTCTAAATTTCCATTTCCCTATATATCAATATTTTTTCTTGAATACGTTGGCTTTAAATTTCTGTAGTAATCTGTTCTTTATTCTGGAATTATTTATCATACTTGTTGTTGTGCATCTTTTGGAAACAATGGCTGGTTACAGAGAGGGTAAAAAGACATTGGGAGAAATACAAATCAATGCTTGATGATGCAGAAGCCATGAAAGTAGAAATTGATGGAGAACTTTCTTCTAGCACTCAAGAGGATGCTGCTGTATCAGGTATTCCATGCCATTTAGATTTTAAACAGAACATTCCCGTTCCTCCCAAAGTTGGCAATAATTAAGTGTGTACCATAACTGAATATGTCAATTACTTGTTTCTTGATAAATATGTTTGAGAGAGAAGGATGTTCATGCTAAATATGTCAATTTCATTTTTTTTGGTATCCACAATCATGTGGTGTACCATAGCCCCTTCCTCCCCCGCATCACATATTACACTTTACCCCCTTCAACTATCACTCAATATCACTCTACCCACCTCAACCAAAAAATTTTATACTTTCTTTGGTTTTTAAACTCAATTACAGTTTTTTAGTTTTTACTTTTTTGCCTTTTTGTTTTTTTTGTCTTTAGTAAAACTTTTTTCATATTTTAGTATAAAAAAAATTAAAATTTTAAATGCACCTAAAAAGTAAAATATTTGTAAGGAAACCCAAAGGAAGTTTACTAAAATGAAAAAATAAAAAATGAAAAACAAAAAACTGGTATGTTAATGTATTTTCATGCATCTAGATTAGATGTACTTAAAAAGTACAAAAAGAAAAAAGATAAAAGAGAGACTAAAATATGAAAAGTTTCATTGAAGACCAAAAAAAATATGAAAAATAAAAAGCTCAAAAACAATTTTTAAATACTAAACCAGACAAATTGATGATGTTATTTTAGGCATTTGATTTGAGAGGTCATGTGCAAATCACATGTCAAATTTTCATTTATCTAAGAAACAAATTGTTTACATTTATACAAATTTGTAAATCTATGTGGCAAATGTAGCATTTTTTAGTTGAAGAGTAAAGTGATATTAGGTGATACTAGTTCAAGAGGGTAAAGTGTAATTTATCCCATAGATAAAGGGGTATTTCATCATAAAGGTTTAGATTGAAAAAAAAAAAATTAGTAGATGAGGGGGGTTAAGTGTTACAATATTTAGTTCAGGGGGTAAAGTGATACGGGACAATAGTTGAGGGGGGTAAAGTGAAATTTTACCCTTGTTGAATATGTCAATTACTTGTTTCATGAAAATATGTTTTGAGAGAAAAGGATCACTTCCTTGACATTGGTGTAAGATCCTTCAGTTATGTATACGGGATGTTTTAGGTGCTCCACAATAGATACATCATCAGTGACTTCAAGGCCTTCCCTGCAGATACACTTGAATATCAATCTTTTTATTACAAATAAATAATTAGAAATTTGATAAACTTTAGAACAAGTATCGTAATTGGATGGCAATTCTCAGCTCATTGCTTGGGTGCACTAGGAAGGTCTTGACAATATCTTTACAGTAAAAGCAATATTTGTAATAATATACATTTACAACTCACATATTCTTACTGTTAATGTTTTTCATTACAATATATAATGCCTAGAAAGACCTGGAGGACATTTCATGTCCAAGCTTGACATTGAATTTTTAGGTTCCTGTAGGCTGCCTAGAAAAACATGGAAAACATATTCATCCCAATCACACGTAATAAAAATTCAATATCAAGCTTGGGCATGCACATTCCAGTTTCACCAGTCATGATTTATTTTCATTTTATAGTGTTAGGTTTGATTTGTTTAGAATTGTATAGTCTGTTAAATATATTTTTATAATTGCATTTTAATCTTAATATTATTTATACCGTGCCTTTAGGCACGGGCATACGCTAGTCACTCAATATCACTCTACCCCCCTCAACCAAAAAATTTTATACTTTCTTTGGTTTTTAAACTCAATTACAGTTTTTTAGTTTTTACTTTTTTGCGTTTTTGTTTTTTTTGTCTTTAGTAAAACTTTTTTCATATTTTAGTATAAAAAAAATTAAAATTTTAAATGCACCTAAAAAGTAAAATATTTGTAAGGAAATCCAAAGGAAGTTTACTAAAATGAAAAAATAAAAAATGAAAAACAAAAAACTGGTATGTTAATGTATTTTCATGCATCTAGATTAGATGTACTTAAAAAGTACAAAAAGATAAAAGATAAAAGAGAGACTAAAATATGAAAAGTTTCACTGAACACCAAAAAAAATATGAAAAATAAAAAGCTCAAAAACAATTTTTAAATACTAAACCAGACAAATTGATGATGTTATTTTGGACATTTGATTTGAGAGGTCATGTGCAAATCACATGTCAAATTTTCATTTATCTAAGAAACAAATTGTTTACATTTATACAAATTTGTAAATCTATGTGGCAAATGTAGCATTTTTTAGTTGAAAAGTAAAGTGATATTAGGTGATACTAGTTCAAGAGGGTAAAGTGTAATTTATCCCATAGATAAAAGGGTATTTCATCATAAAGGTTTAGATTGAAAAAAAAAAAAATAGTAGATGAGGGGGGTTAAGTGTTACAATATTTAGTTCAGGGGGTAAAGTGATACGGGACAATAGTTGAGGGGGGTAAAGTGAAATTTTACCCTTGTTGAATATGTCAATTACTTGTTTCATGAAAATATGTTTTGAGAGAAAAGATGTTCATGCTAAATATGTCAATTTGTTTTTTTAGGTATTCACAACTAAATGTGTTACAATGATAAGTATCAATTACTCTCTCTCTCTCTCTCTCTCTCTCTCTCTCTCTTTTATGGTTGGCTGTTTTATTAAAGTTTATTTTTAATTTATGAATGTTTTTGCATGTGTTCCACAAACAGAGTTCTACCATGTGATCATTTGAACACAAATGGAGATCATGGTCAATTATGTACGTTGAATGTGGAGATGACTGCATTATGGACACTGTTGGGGTTATTTGTGTTGACACTGAAGGACATATAGCATCTGGAGCTTCACATGGTGGCATTGCACTGAAGGTGATTATCTGCTTTGTTTTTGTGGCATTTTCTTGTTATATATGCAAAGAGTTTCTATATTATTTGTCTCAATTCCTTAAATTGTATCATTATTTTTCTAGTGTTCTTATTTAATTAACCCAAGTATGGCAATGGTGGTCGGATTGGTGTTCTGTGGGAGGAGTTGACTAGTGGCCATTGACGGTTTGGTGGGGGCTTTGGTGTATGAAGTTGTGTGTGTGTGAAGAGAGAGAGGAGGGGGATTCAGAGGCTTTGATTTAAAAAAAAAAAAAAAAATTCAGTTCCTCTATGACATTTTGTCCTCCCAAGTTCCAAACAACCACGCAAAAGAAATGCTTTTCTTGGTTGTGAATGATACCTTGAAGTGGTTATTGGGTAGCCAGTTCATTTGATGAAGTTAATCAAATTTCTAAGGGCCCATTTGGCATCATTTTCATTTTCATTTTCAATGCTTTTCTGGCTTGTCTTTTATTTAGATTTGATGCCTCTGTTGATCACAATTCACACATGAAAGTTGAAATTTGCATGACATCATTTCTAAAATGGATCATTATTCAGTTAAACTTGAAATTTATTCTTCAAATATTTTTAACGGATAACTGGACGTGTGGGATTAACAGCAATGTATGGCTCCGGTTGTTAGACATCCTCAAAAGGTCCATTTGGGGCTCCATTTATAGTTGGTTGTTGCGTTAGTGGTGCTGGAGAGTAGTTAATGAAAGGATTTGCTGCTCGGGAGTGCTGTGTCTCATCATCACTGTATGTATCCTCGTCGTTCAAAAATGTTATTTTGTTTTATTTTGGGAAGTATAATCAACAGAAAGGGGGAAAAAAAAAGAAAAAGAAAAAAGAAAAAAGAAAATTGTATCTTAGAAGCGTGCAATTTTAATTTATCTTTTACTACAAGGAACATTATATTTTCTTGGTATGAGGCTAGTTTAATAGCGGGATATTTTTGTAAAGGTCTTCATGTTTTTCTGATTTTTTTTTAGTTTAAAGCTTTCTTTCTTCTATGTATTTAGTTTTCATTATTTATTTGTGTTAAACCTACAAAAATCATGTTCTTTGTTTCCATTTATGTATACCCTCAGCTTGTGAATCTAACATGGTTATTATTTTTGTTGCACAGGTCGCAGGCAGGTCTGGGCTCTGCTTGCATGAAAGTTTTACGCTCTGTTATGCCAGATAGTAGCCAGCACGGTACTGATAAAAGTGCCCGAACTCTAGTTGTTTAAGCCAAGGCTCCTATAATAGTGAGAGCTCCCAACCCTCAACCTTAATGGTTTTTTAACGGAAAAAAAATGACTTACTATTTGTTTGTTTCTTATTTAGCTTCCCTGGACTTCACCTAAGCTGAAACCTATAGAGATTGCAGCAGCCTACACTTCCCTGTCTTTTGGAATAGGTTATTTTGGAAGCTCTATGGAGCGGCCCAAGGTACTATAATCTGTTCCAAGGAATATTTCTCAGCTTTTATTGTTGCATATGAATTTTCTTCTTTAATTGATATATTTAGATCAGATTTTAAGATCACAGTGAGTTCAGTTGATCCCTGCAGATGACATTTAATCATGAATCATCTCATTGAGAGTAAACCAATACGTAGTGTATTAATTAGGTGTGAAGTGTTTGTTAACATTTACTATATATAATGATTTCTTGTTTTATAATTGCACAAATATTTTATATAAGAGCATATCATAAACTGATTGGAAAAGATTTGCATTTTGTATTTGAACTGTGCATTTCGTATTAGTCATAATTGTAATGGTGGCATGTAACAATTTGTAGTTTGTCCTGTTCGATTCTTCCTTTTTTGCTTTTTCGTGTCCATATCATGTTATAATGTTGGTTTACATTTATCGATTTTTTTCCTGATTACATGAAATGGACAAGCATGCTGCAATTCAAACCGAATTATGTGTTTAATTTTTTACTTCATTGTGTGTTTAATTTTTCACTTATACGAAGCTTATTTATTTTATTCATCTGTTTTTATGCAGGACTTAATTCTTAGGACTACAAAACAGCAAAATAGGACTGGCATAGACCAGTTTGCCACACGAATTGATGTTAGTGAAAGTAAAGGATAAAATATCCTGTGTGCTAAGATTTTGATAAGAAATTTAAAATTTGGAAGTAAATCAAATTGGTTTATTTGCTTTCTTCTTTCGAGTGACTTGTCATGTTTCAAATGGTCAAGTAAGGCAAACCTTAAACCTGAAAGATGTTCATTTTAGCTCATGAGAGAGATCAGCACAATTATTTTATGGACCATTCTTCTGCAACTTGATAATGGGCTTGTTTGGTGTAGAAAATTGAAAATGTGTGAAGCCTTTTTCATTGGGCTGCAGGCTGAGCTTGCATGGTGGACGTATGAGTGGGCCAATAGGCCGCCTCTATGGGCTTGTGCCCTGGCCTCCAACCCTTGATTTGCGTCTTTTTTTAATTAATTTTTCTTCACCTTTTTTTTTTAAATATAATTTTTCATGGGCTGGGCAGAGCTGGGTTTCAAATTTAAGGCCCAATCTCACTTGTGCTAGCATGTCCAGGATTTGGGCTTTATTTCAGTAAAAGCCCAATGAACTTGGGCTAGGTTGGGTTTCAAGTTCAAGGCCCAATTCTAAGCTCTATCTAACTTGTGCTAGCTTGTCGGAATTTGGCCAATGTTTGAGTAAAATCCCAATGAGCTTGGGCCAGGTTGGGTTCAAATTCAAGGCCCAGTCTCACTTGGGCTGGCCAGTCCAAGATTTGGGCTGGGTTGGGTTTCAATTTCAAGGTCCAATTTTATGTCCAGTTTCACTTTAGCCAAACTGCCCAAGATTTGGGCTTGGTATAGGTAAAAGCCCAATGAACTTGGGCCGGACTGTTTCAAATTCAAGGCCCAGTTTTGCTTGGGCTGGCCCATTCATTATTTTGGCCTTGTTTCGGTAAAAGCCCAACAAGTTTGGACCGGACTGGTTTCAAGGACAAAAGAACTATATGCCATTCTCGAAGGGGATTTTATTTATACCCAAAAAAAATTTAAGTACTTCATTTCTCAGTACATTATGTCAAATTATTTAGGGTTTTATGTTAGTCTCAGTACATCATATAATTTTTTCTAATTTACCTTTCAAGGTACATTTAAATAAAAATAAAATAGTTATGTTTAGATTTATAATGTCGAACAATATTATTTGATTCGGACTTTCAGATTCAAATATGTTGTCTTTGTTCGGCAAAGTGAACTGGTATAGGGCCACACTATGATTTGTCTTTTGGGTCTTTTGTGCCCTAGAAATATCTTTTCAACTCTGCCCATCCTATTACAAAGAGTCTTAGTTTTGATTCATCTACAAATGTGCCCAATGATTTTATCTCAGCTTTCCATATAGTTAGGCAATCTTCTACAATAAAGAATCCTAATTTTGTCAGAAGCTACAACAACAGTGATTCTTCCACTAGGTGGACTGAAGATATAATAGAGTATTTAGATAAAATTGTTAGTGTTATTATTTCGGGTAAGGGCATAAGATCAATTGAGCCTGGTCTTGATGACTTTGTTACGTAAATATATATATATATATATAAATCAAGAATTGTATCGTTATATTTATGAAAATATTTATTTCATCTTTGATGAGTTGTTTCAAAAAATAATTTTTATTATTATTCTCATCTATTGTTTGATTTTGTAGTGAGGAAGAAGAATAAGAGAAAATAATTTAAACTTGTGGAAGAAGATGAATAATACGTATATGTGATTAGGGTATATTATTAAAAAAAAAATTAATTTTAAAATTTAATATATGTTGTCCTTATTAGGCTACAATAGGAGGCCTACTTAATAGTTTTTTGGGTGTAAAAAATATGTTTCAATTAATAATTTAAGTAATTTTATTATTATATAGGAGAGTAATTATGAATTTTATTTTTTAATTAATTCTGTTACATAAAAAAATTCTAATAAGGGATATTTGTAATTTTTTAAACCACAAGGGACAATTTATATTTTAAACAAACTTCAAGAGTGTATTTATAATTTACCCTTTTATTTTTTAGTAAATGCTTTTGCGACTACTTTCTAACCACCATTATATTCACACTCTACTTTCTTCTTCTCTATTTGTACTTTTCTTTCTTTCTTTTCTTTTTTTTTTTTGGTTAATTACAAAAAAAAAAAATTCTAAAGTTTAACGTGTTTTTAATTTTAAATTCCAATGTTTTAATTTTGACAAATTAATCTTGAAGTTTTATTCGTATTTTAATGTGCCCTCTCCTCTGTCCATCTTCGTCTATTTAAGGTAACGGGAAATAATTTTAGGGTTTTGGTTTTTTATTTTTATTTTTTGTTGTAATTAACCCTAATATTTATTATTATTTTTGTGTATATATATAACTTAGATATCCTATTGTATATGAATATATGTGCTTGTATATATGATGCAATTTTTTTATTCAAATTTTGACTCTAGTACTGATAAAATGTTGATTTTGTCCATAATTTTGATGACTATGTAAGAAAAGCTACTTGAAATGTGAGAGACACTTATTAGTGTTTTAATGGATTAAGGCTATCTAAAATGTAAGTGACATTTATCAGTGCATATTTTTAGTCATCAAAATTAGAGATGAAATAAAAATTTTACTCCGTCGGTCCAATATTGATAGTCCCTTTTTGAAAATTCATTACACTTTGAATTTAAATTTTAAATAATTAATTCCAAAAGTACCCTTCTATTTTCATTTTTAAATATCTTTATAATTACTTTACAAGGGATAATTTTGAACTTTTTTAAATTAAAATTTTTTACTTTTCAAAGTGGACATGCCTTTTGGGGCCCAAAAAAAAAAATGTAATAATGGACCAATAAAATGGGATGGAGAGAGTATCAGTCAAAATTTGAATAAAAAAATTTCACCATATATATAAGCACACATGTACATATACAATAAGATATGTAAGTTTTTCATACACACACAAAAAATTAAATATTAGGGTTAATTACAAAAAATAAATTCTAAGATTTCACGCATTTTTCATTTTAAAACCCTTATTTTTCATTTTAAATTCGAAAACGATTCTCCATTATCTTACATAGGTGAAGATGGATGAAAGGGGCACATCGAAATATGGATAGAACTCTAGGATTTAATTTATTGAAATTGAAACATTGATATTTAAAATGAAAAACGTGTGAAATCTTGGAGTTATTTGTGTAATTAACCCTTTTTTTCTTATGCTTTTTGATGTTCATAAACAGAACATCAATATGGAGTGTGAAAATAAGGTGGAAGTGAATTATAACGGTGCACGGGAAGAAGAAAGTAGTGATAAAGCAATTATTAATAAATAAATAAATAAAAGTAGTAAAAAAAAAACCATTAAACAAGTCTCTCCCTTAGATATCATAGCAATGGTGTCTATTTTATATGTGGCCCATAACATTTCTTTGCAATAGAGGGAAAGTAGACGTAATAATAGTTAAGATTTTTGTTAAGTTAATGTAAATAAAAAAAAATAGGGGTACTTACGTATAGGTCCTAATAAGTGGACTTATTATCCAATAGGTCTTATGGGAAAAATTTATTATAAAAAAATGTTACTAATTGTATATTTTAGCAACAATTTATAAAAATCATGATAAAAAAAAGTCACTAATTGTTAATTTTTAGCGACGTATGTTAAAAATTATTATAAAAAAATTATTTTTAGCGACAATTTAATCAAGATTTATTTCCAATAGGACTTTATAAGAATTAAGTCTAACTATTAGGGCTTATTGATAGTTTATCCAAAAATGTCTAATTATATTTTTGTTTTCAATTATGCTGATAAAGAATATTCAATTAATACTAATATTATTCATTTTTTTTTTTGTGTTGATATAAATTAAAATTTAAAATTTAAAATTTTACAATACTTATTTTCGATGAAAATGTACATGTATTTATCCTTTTAAATTTAAATTCTAGATCTGTTCCTGATTAAAGATCCTGTTAAGTAATTGGACCTTTTTACATTTTTGTTTGGTAAAAAAAAAAAAAGAAAAAGAAAATTGGAAGTTGATATGAAAATTTTGTTTAATAAACAGTTTTTGATAATTACTTTTGGGAATAATCCTTTTTTATAGTAAAATTAAAAGATCATTCCAATCAAAAAATTCGTAAACATTTACAGTTTCTTATTTTGGAAATAAAATATCATTTGATAAAAATTTGTGAATTTTGACATTTTTTTCCACAAAGATTAATACAAAATTAACCAAACCAAATCAAATCAAGTCTTAAGTCTCATTACTCATTACCATAAGAAATTAACCACTAATTTTTATAGTTTGGTTTTGGTATCATTTTGATCTTTATAATTTTAATTAATTTAATTTTGAGCTTAAATTTTTTATTGTATCAATCTAACCTAATTGACAGCAATCATTAACCTCCTCCTCCTCCTTTTTATTTTTATTTTTATTTATTTATTTATTTATTTTTCAATGAAAAGTGCACACATGAGTAGCCTGAGTTACATCTTTAAAAATAGGAGGGTTTGGTCAAAACCCCCTCATAATAAAACTTTAATGCATTAAAGAGAAGCATAAAAAGTTTTTCTTAAAAAGTCTAATATATACTACTATTATCAAAATATTAAATTTTAAAATAATATAACTTTTGATGTAGATATCGATTTTTAATAAAATTAGTATTTTAAAAATCCTCTTATCAAAATCTATAAAATAAGATCCATATTGACTATGAAATTCTTAAAAAAAAATAAAATTTATTACCGTCGAAATTGATGTAAATAGTAACAGTAATGTGTTACTTTATTTGACAATAACATGTTGCTCTGATTCACAGTAACATATTACTTTGGCAATGCTATCCAAGAAAGAAAAAAAAGATATTTTATTTTGTCTTTGTTCAATTATGTATTTTTTTTTATAGAGTTTATGAAATAAAATAAATTGAGTTGTCATTTTCACAAAACAAGGGTCTAATGAAGAGGTTTTGCCTTAAATTTTCCTTAAAAATAAAATTGCAAATTTTCTTAACTAAGTGAGTCAATCTCATCATATGATTAACGATTTTATTGAAAAAACACTAAATGACGTTATTAATTGAATCGAATTAATGCAAAATTTAAAATTAAATCAATTAAAAAATATGAAAATAAAAATGATATATGAAACAAAATATAAAAACTACCAATTTAATTTACCTAATAAACATTACCACTTTCCCTATCTTGATTCCAAAGAAGATTCAAGGCTACCGGTTGGCAAACTATCAACATGCAACCAAAGACAAGAAAATAAAACAAAAAACAAAATCATAGAGTTGGCTACGAGTTTCATTATAACAATTTAAATCATTTGTATTGTATTTTTAAATTTTCATTATTTAGTGTTTTTAGAGTACTACCATACATTATTCATGTTAGAATACTTGCCCAATTATCTCTTACGAACGAGAATTTTTTTTAAATTAAATTGTAAATTAAATCATTGGTCTTTATAATTTAAGTCAAGTGCCATTTTAGTTATCATAATTTTAATTTTAACATTTTGACCCTTATATTTTAAATTTTGTTACAAGATGGTCCTTCCGTCAAATGTTATTAACAATTGGAATAGAAAAAATTAAGTATAAAATTAGAAAGATCAAAATAAAATTCAAAACAAATTATAAAGACTAATAATATAATAAATATATTACACTGTTGATCTTTATAATTAATTTTAAATTTCATTTTGATCCATCTTTTATTTTATTCATAATATTTTTTTATTTTAAATATAAAAATAAATAAATAAAAAAAAAGATTGAAAAACTTGTAAGGCCACTTTCTACCAACTGCGAAAAATAATGATGGAGATATGAATTCATTTAAAAATATATTAAAAAATAATTGGATACTATCAACTTGGGTTCTTTTATTCTTGGGTTCTTTTATTTTTTATTAAAAAATAATTGGATACTATCAACTTGGGTTCTTTTATTCTTGGGTTCTTTTATTTTTTTAATTTATTTGTTGTTTTTGCAGAGGGACCCGGAGCCAATGAAAGAAGACGCCATATTTGACTTATTCTCAGCACTCAATAATTTCTTCTTCTTCTCACAAAAATATAGCCATTTTTTGTGACTGCTGAAGCTTTTTTAACTGGAAAAAAAGTCAACAACCTCTTTGCTTTGCTTTGCTTTGCTTCTGATCTGTTGATTTTTTTCTTTTCCTCCTGTAATCGGAAACAATGCCTATAGAAGGGATCTTTCTCTCTGCCTCAGTCAAATTGCTGTTTGAGAAGATGTCCTCTTTCGCGTCCTCCAAATTACCCACCTTTGAAGGTATTGGTACCCAGCTGACCAATTGGACCAATATGCTGCGCCAAATTGAAGCTCTTCTGATTGACGCGGAGGAGAAGCAACTGACCGATAGAGCCGTGAACCTGTGGCTCGACGATCTCCAGGATCTGGCATATGATTTGGATGATTTAGTGGATGAGTTCGCCACCGAAGCTTTGCGACAGAGTCTCAAGGCCAAGCCGCCCCAAGCTAGTTCCAGCAAGGTATGGAATCCCATTCCTAATTTCAAGCCAAGAGATGTTGTGTTTAATTTCAAAATGAGGTCCACGATTGAGGGGATCAATACCAGATTGCACAATAGTTTTGAACAATGTTCGAAACTTAATTTGGTTAAGATTGTTGGAACCACCACACCTACTAAGACTTGGCAAAAACCAAAGTCTACGTCATTATTAAAAGAACCTCGCGTTTATGGAAGAGAAAAGGATCAAAGAAAGATAATTGAGTTGCTTGTAGGTGGAGGTGAATCAAGCCGTAACAAAGTTGACGTAATTCCCATTGTGGGTATGGGTGGGATTGGCAAGACCACCCTGGCTCAGATGGTATACAACGATGAAATCGTGAAGAACCATTTTGATCTGAAAGCCTGGGTTTGTGTGTCAGATGAGTTTGACATTCTGAAAATAACAAAAGCAATTTATGATTCAGTCACTTCCCAGACATGTAGTTCTGATAACTTGGATCAAGCTCAAGTTCAACTAAAGCAGGCTTTGGCCGGAAAGAAGTTCTTTATTGTTTTAGATGATGTCTGGAACAAAAAATACAATGACTGGAATGACTTGAACAGCCCTTTCAAGGATGGAGCTCAAGGAAGTAAAGTCGTGGTGACTACACGTAGCAGAGACGTTGCAAGAATGATGGCAACTGTTTAACTTCATGACGTTGAGATCCTATCAGATGAAGATTGTTGGTCATTGTTTGCACAACATGCCTTTGAGAATAGAAGTATTGATGCAAATCCAAATTTGGTATCAATAGGTAAGAAAATTGTGGAGAAATGCAAAGGTTTGCCTTTGGCTGCTAAGACACTTAGTGGCCTTTTACGTTGCAAAGAACGAGATGAGGAATGGGTAGATGTATTGTGTAGTAAAATATGGGATTTATCACACGCAGAAAGTGACATCCTTCCAGCTTTGAGACTAAGTTACCATCATCTCCCTTCGCATTTGAAGCAGTGTTTTGCATACTGTTCAATAATACCCAAAGACTATGAATTTGAGGAAGAGGAGATAGTCTTGTTGTGGATGGCAGAGGGTTTCATTATGCAAAAAAGAGAGAAACAAATGGAAGATGTAGGAGCTAGGTCTTTTTTCCAACCATCAAGTACTAGTAAAGGCTCTAAATTTGTGATGCACGACCTCATCAATGATTTGGCTCATGTAGTTGCAAGAGATACTTGTTTTAGATTGGATGATAAATTGAAAGATCAGGAGCAGTACCGGAATCTAAATAAAGCTCGACATTCATCTTACATGCAAGAGATGTATGAGGGTATGAAAAAATTTGAGATCTTTGATAAAGCCATGCATTTACGGACCTTCTTACCATTTGGCTCAAAACATAAATGGAGTTGTTATTTGGCAAGCAATGTTCCCCTTAATTTATTCCCGAAGCTAAGACGATTGAGGGTGCTCAATATGAGTAGATATTGCATCACGGAAGTTCCAAATTCTGTTGCAGATTTGAAACATCTGCGGTATCTTAACCTATCCCACACCTCCATTGAAAAATTACCTGAATCACTAGGCTCTCTTTACAATCTACAAACATTAATGTTAAGAGAATGTGCAAAACTGAAAAAGTTGCCAACAGACTTGGGAAGCCTAATTGACCTACGTCATCTCGATACTACAAATGCACATTCCTTAAAAGAAATGCCACTGGGAATAGGTAAGTTGGTTAGTCTTCAAACACTGTCCAATTTCATTGTTACTAAAAACAATGGGGATCAGTTAAGAGAGTTGGGGAACTTAATTTATCTTCGGGGGAAGCTTTGCCTATCTGGGTTACAGAACGTGGTGGTTCCATTAGCTGCAAGGGAGGCGAATTTGAATGATAAGAATGCATTAGATGTGTTATCAATGGAATGGAGTGTTAACTCAGATGATTCACGAGTGCAAGGGAGGCGAATTTAATTGATAAGGAGGGGTTAGATGTGTCATCAATGGAATGGAGTGTTAACTCAGATGATTCACGAGATGGAAGAGTTGAAACAGAAGTGCTTGACATGCTACAACCTCACACAGATTTAAAAGAGCTCCATATCAAAGGCTACCTTGGTATAGGATTTCCAAATTGGATAGGAGATCCTCTATTCTCCAATATGGCTGACCTAAGTTTAGATAATTGTGGAAATTGTGTATCCTTGCCACCACTCGGACAACTACCCTCACTCAAAAAGCTTTACATTAAAGGAATGAGTGTACTAAAACATGTCGATCATGAGTTTTACGGGCAGGGTAGTGCCAAACCTTTTCAATTACTGGAGACTCTAAGCTTTAAGGATATGCCGGAATGGGAGTATTGGTATACTTTTGAAGATGATAAGGAAGTTGAACCATTTACTCATGTTAGTGAGCTCTCCATCAAAAATTGTCCTAAACTTGTTGGAATGTTGCCAAGTGATCTACCTTGTTTGAATAATCTAAAGATTAAGAAGTGCCCGCAATTGCTAGTTGAAGTTTCTAGGGTTGTCTACCCGTTACTCACCTCTATAGCTATGAATGACGTTCCTCTAACAAGCCTTCAAGCGGTCCTTGAGATGAGGAGCATGGTTGATGACGAACTGATATCAGCAAATGCAAAGTCTAAGCATCCGAGTTCAATAACTTCCTTGAGCATTGGGATGATTAAGAAACTCGAGCTCTCGCCGAAATGGGTCACTCATGGGCTGATGGAACTCGAAGCATTGGAGATCACAAGCTGTGAAGAACTCAAGACATTGTGGAAGAACGAGGAGAGAGTGCAACACAGTCTGAGTCTCCCTGCATTCCGGCATTTGAAAATTGAAGGCTGCCCCCAGCTTGTTTCTTTGTTTGAAGAAGATGAGGATGACGACAACAAAGGGCAACATGAGCAGCAGCAGCAGCAACAAGAGGGACTCCCCTGCATAGTGAGGAGGCTTGAGCATCTAACAATAGATAATTGTGAAAAGCTGGAGAAACTGCCACGGCTGCTACATAACTTCACTTTTCTTGGAGAGTTGTATGTCTATAAGTGTCCGAGTCTCGGCTCTTTTCCAGAGACAGGTTTTCCGTGCACCATGTCCCATAATCTTGATGCAGGTATGATTGGAAGTTTGTTTCCCAAAACCTCATGCTAACAAGAAGCTGACTATACTGGATCATACATACTCGATATGGATCTGTTCACCGCATTCCAGACAGTTACAGCGAGCTTATGGAAACATATAGGCATCTTATCTCATATTTCCCACAACTGCACGTGGGTTGACTTCTATCTGCAAAATCTCATGTATTGCGACCCTCGTCCCATGCCGAAAAGATGTTTGCACCTCAATCGCCTGCAGGCATATGCAGGACAAGTATTCGATACAACTAAGTCAGTTCATGTTTTTTAGGTGTAATTAACTGAATAACATAATTGAAGAACCAATTTAGTTCACATTACAAATAACACTGTTCAATTACATATCAACTGAGGAAAGTATTCCCTTACGACTCCTCCTCGAATAGTTTTGTGCATCTCTTAGGGCATTGAACTATTCCATGTACATTGTTTTCAGTTGGGCTTATCCCATCTCGTCAAAAATTACGAGCGTTGTCGAATGTAAATTCAACCATAGCTAGATAGGTAAGTTCCTGACCTTGTCATGTAACAACCCACTTCATGTCCTAGTCATGTTTCATTGCATTTATATGTTTTGCCATGTTGTTGCTGTAATAACTCGCATTATGTCCTTGACGTCATGTTCCATGAGCGATTTGTCATGATGTATGGACTCGTTGAGCTGCATTTGTTGCTTATGACTTGTTTTGCGTAAGGTAAGTCCATGCCTTGTTTGTAGTTTATGTCCGGGATTTGCTAAGTGTTGTTGTTACGATGCGTGTTTCCTCCCATTGGTTTCGTCGAGCCGTAGGTTCATGTTAAGCCTAGATCGATTTCCAAAGCCGATGGTCACCTTCGTCTAGAAATTTGATCTTTGGAACCACTTGATTCTGACCTCCACCCTGTCCCTGATATTTGGCCGAGATGTCATTATTAGGCCGAGGTGTCTCATCACCAAGGCCCGAGATGGTTGGTAATTATCCTGGGCCGAGATCTGTTACCATTTGCACCTTAGGTGATCTTGTCCCTGGAGTGGTATGACCTAGAACCGAGGTGTGTGGCAACATCTAGGCTAAGTGGTGGCAAGCTTAGGTCAAGTGGTTGTCCTTCCTAGCCGAGTTCATGTCACGCTTCAGTTGCTGTGAAGCTTGTCCTTAGCCGATGTGGGGTTATCACTTCCGAGTGCCCTACGGGTAGCTGTTTAGATTACACTTTTGTCTTTACACATTCTTGTCAATCTATCACTTTTTTTTGAGAAGGAGCCAACCAGCCGTTGCCACGTGTCTGAGCTGGGCAGGTTACAGTCAGCCGCAGACGGGAGACAACCTATCTTTGTTAGTCCTTGTTTTTGAAGAGGAGAGAGAAGCTCTAGCGAGAGGAAGAGGTGTTCTTGAGGGAGAGTGGATTTCCAGCTTGATCCCTAGAACGAACCGTTAGATCCGTCGGTTCTTAAGGTTAGATCTTGATCTACGATGTTGTTCTTATGTTCATTTTACTATTGCTTGTATATTGAATATGACTTTATAAGCCAATTGCATTGCCTTTGACAAGTTCGATTTTAGAAAAGAAAAAGTATTCATGTGTTCTTCAAAGGAAAAGTCATGTTTTGATCTTGGAAGCTCATGCCCAGATCCAGTTTTGTGTTTTTTTCACATGATCTTTCCAAGTGATGGTACCCAAGGTCCATTTTGTCGAACTCATAGCATGAAATTCCATATTTGTAATAAAGAGTTATATTTTTAGTATTCATATTCTTCATGTTCTTCATGTTCTTCACGGTTGGAAACTCGTCATCCAACCTCACCTTCCCTAAGTGTAGTCGCCAGATCACTCGTTGCCTAGACTCACACTTAGGCCAAGCATCGTATCTCACCTTGGCCTATCTTACATGATCACTGTAACACCTTTAGTGTGTCTTGTGCGCACCTCGGACATGCAGCCGCACGTCGAAGCCTAGGTAACCACACCTCGGCCAGGACGGGTGTGGACCTCGGGCAACGACCTGGTTTGGTTACCCAGCATGCTTCCTGACATGGTAAAGCAGTGTTTTTGACTTCCAGCATGTTCCAGATCACTGCGATGCAAGTGTAAAAACTTGTTTCTGAGAAAGTACGTTTCAGTAGATTTGCACTGTATTTGTAGACTTGGGACTTGCTTGGATCCCAACGTCCCAAAACTATGGAGTGGTATTTATAATAAAGTTATGATTATCACGTTTTAATAAAGCTTTGCCTGTTTTAAGTAAGAAGTATTGTTAACATGAATGAATCCCTATTTTATGTATCAGTATAAGCTTTGTTTGGATGGACATTCTTGGAACCGTCCTTCATTGTTAAGGGGACATAGCCTAGTAACCCCATCCTTCGTGTTAGGGGACGTTAAGCTATTAGTAACACCGTCCTTTCGTGTTAGGGACGTTTTAAGCCTAGGTAACATAGTACTGTACGTGCCAGGGACTTTAGCATTTGTTGGCACCCCAAGTCCGTCCGTGGCTAAGGGGACTTTAAGCCTAAGACTTAGCATAGGTCCTTCCGTGCTAGGGACTTTAAGCCTAAGTCAGCATATGTCCTTTCCGTGCTAGGGGACTTGTAAGCCTAGGTAGCACCGTCCTTTCGTGGCCTAGGACGTTAAGCCTAAGTAGCACCCTTAATTAAGATATCGTGCACGACGGACTATGACGCGGTATGTTGCTCCGATGCCGAGGTTATGCTTTGTTTTGCCCGCGAACTGTCATCACCCATGGTTTGAGTTGCACGTATGTTAAGTATCCCAAGCAAGTTTTGAAGAGACCAAGGTTCAATTTGATGTTTTATTTCAAGTCAAGCTTAAGCTATGTTATGATGGTTTGATAAAGACTTATACTATGTATTATGTTGAAAAGATCGTTGGGATCATTCATTTAAACCTGTTATGATTTTATTACCATTCACCGAGTTATCCAAGCTCACCTCCCTATGTAATATATGTAGGTAACAGCAAGAAGCGGCTACGCCGAGATGTGATGTTTTGTATGTCCGGCAGGGGATGTCAGCAATCTTGAAGCTTATGTATTTTGAACATGTCGCTTGAGAGCCTTTGTAGTCAAGATGTTAATATGTATTTTATTCTTGCTTATTAATCAAGTTGTAAAAGCTGATGTAAAGATGTATGTCATTTCATTTGGACTTATGCACAGCTCTTATGGACTAATTAGTTTTGTACATATGCTTCCGCACTGTTGAAGCCCCATATGATAATACTCTGCGATGTTGTGTGATTTTAAAGTTGGCCTGCTGGTAATCTGCGGCTATTACTGGCCATCACGGCACATCTACTAGGGGGCAGAATGTGGGTCATTGACAGTGCAAGGAACTTACCTATCTTTAGCTATGGTTGAATTTACATTTGACAAACTCGTTAAATATTTTGACGAGATGGGAGCCCAAGCTGAAACAGATGTACGGAATAAGATTCCAATACCCTAGAGAGATGCAAAAAACTATTGAGGAAGGCATCGCAAGGGGGAAATACTTTCCAGTTGATATTGTATGACAGGTTAGTTGTAATGTGAACTAAATTGTCTTATTATGTTGTTAAGTTAATACACCTAAAAACATGAACTTGATTGGTTTGTATCAATATTGTCTGATAGGCCCCGCCGCTATTTGAGGTGCAAACATCTTTTCGCATGGACGAGGTCGCAATACACAGATTGTGCGGATGAATCAACCCAGCTGCAGTTGGGAAACATGAGATAAGACACTATCCATGTTCCCATATGCTCACTATAATGTCTGAATGCGATGACAATCCATTCGAGTACGTTGATCCAGTATATAGACTTCTGTATACATGAGGGTTTAGGAAA